GGCTCAGCAAGGTGGAGACGCTGCGCGCCGCCATCGGCTACATCCGGGACCTCCAGGAGCTGCTGGAGCACCACGCGCGCGCCCGGGACAGCCCGGCGGGGGCCGCCCCGCTGCGCAGGGCCGATTGCAACAGCGACGGCGAGTCCAAGGCCTCCTCGGCGCCCTCGCCCTGCAGCGAGCCCGAGGACGGGGCCAGCTAGCGGGGGCCCAGCGCCCGGCCCGGCCCGGCCGGCCCCCAGCCCGCTGCACCTCGCACCTTCTGCATTTTTGATCTGCTTTCTTTGCCGTCCTAAATTTTAGGGGGGGTGGGGGATGGGAGCTCCAAGGAGGAGGAAAGCACATTTGATGTCGGCGTGGTTCCACTCTGCTCTCATTAGTTATGTGCCAGCAACTGAGGGGTGCTTATGCTGAACCCTAAACCCTCATTCTAAACCCTCCTTCCCTCCCTTCTTTCCCTCCCTCCCTCCCTTCCTCCCTTCCTTCCTTCCTTCCCTCCCTTCCTCCCTCCCTTCCTTCCCTCCCTCCCTCCCTTCCTTCCTCCCTCCTTCTCTTCTTCCCTTCCTCCCTCCCTCTTTCCTTGCCAATACTGGTGCTTAAATCCAGGGGCTCAGGCTTCTTTTTTGCTCACAGCTGGTGCTCTACCACTCGAGCTACGCCAGTACTGGTTATTTAGAGATGGGAGTCTTTTCACATCACCTGGGGGAATTGTGTTAGAAGTCTAATTGTCACCGTGCTGTGGGTGAAGGTGAATGGGTTGACATTTTTTTTCTCTTACCAGTGTGGGTACTAGAGCTTGAACTCAGGGCTCAAGACTAGCACTCTGCCACTTGAATGAACCACGACTCCACTTCCAGCTTTTTAGTGGCTAATTGGAGATAAGAGTCTCCTGGACTTTCCTGCTGGCTTTGATCGGTGTTATCTTCGGATCTTTGCCTCCTGAGTAGTTCGGATTACAGGTCTGAGCCACTGGACCCCCGGCTCTTCAGAACATGTACCCACGTACTGCTGGACCTCAGCACCATGGATCCAGCCTGAGTCACGGTGTAGAAGGACTGTTTATGTGTCACGCAGACTGGTCAACAAATAGCCAGTTGGAAAATTTATAGCATACTAAATAAGATAGGTACTATATGTCTTGTTTTTACGATCTCTTTGGAAGACACCCCAGATCTGTAAGACAATCTGTTTTCCCTCTCTGCTGACTTTATGCAGTTTTCATCTCCTATTTCTTGGCATTCCCCTTTTCAGTTCTCACTCCGTCTAACCTTTGGCTAAAGTGATAATGTGACTTTAAAAATAAAATGAAAATGTACATAGTGCCTTTTGGTGGTTGAACTGCATGGTGGGAGCCAGCAGGATGGATGGAGGTTGGTAGGTTCCCAAGGGTTTTAACCCTTGAGAGCTTTCAGGTATATTGAAATTGTCCACCTGCCCTTTCAAAGTATTTGATCTTGGTCATCTTTCCTCACTGAGAAGCAATGATAAGGCCACTTGATAAGTTAGATGCATGTTGACACATGAAAATAAACTGCCTATGTTGTTTTCTAACAGGACAAGTTTCTCTTACCATAAGGACAACTTTGTTAAGAGGGTCAAGGTGGAGGATGGGCAGGGAATAGGAGGATCACAAATGTTTGGGGGCCTCTTTTTTTTTTTTTTTTGGCAGGTCCTGGGGCTTGAACTCAGGGCCTGGATGCTAACCCTGATCTTTTTTGTTCAAGGCTAGTGCTCTACCACTTGAGCTACAGCTTTACTCCTGGGTTTTTGGTGGTTGATTGGAGGGAAGAGTCTCATAGCACAGACTTTCCTGTTTGGGCTGGCTTCAAATCCCAATCCTCAGGTCTCAGCCTCCTGAGTAGCTAGTGTTACAGTCGTGGGCGACCAGTGCCTGGCTTTGGGCCTGTCCCCACAGTGGCCTCAGAGATAAGTATTCTCCTTTTCCCACCTATGTCAGCTGAGGGATTACTCAGTGATTGCTTTTCACTTGGCAAGATTTTCGTTTTATTTAATTCTCATAAATTTGAAGGGAAAGAGTCTTCCTTGCATGGGGAACAGGAAATGTTTCTTTATCCATTTCTGCCTACCTTAGCCCATCATAGCAAAACAAAGCCTTGCTGAAACTTTAAGAAACATAAATTTCTAGGGAGGATATTATACACATACTTTGTTTAAAAAAGGAAGTTTGAAGAGAATATATATCTTGACAAGGTTAATGTTGCTAGGATTGCTTGATGTCAAGACTCAGTCCCAACTCTGTCCCCAAAGGACAAGATGCTGATGATAGAGATGATTTGGTCCTTCCTTCTTCCTTATCTTTTGGCAGTACTGGGCTTTAATCTTAAGAGGTTTATACCTGGTAGGCACTCTACCATTTGAACCACATTACTTATTCCTTTTGCTTTTACTCATTTCTGTGGCAAGAACCAGAGAAGCTGGATGCAGACTCAAGCTAGCATGAGATCACAGCTGTTAAAAAAACAGGATATAGTTTATATGAGGGAAGGTGTGGCTGACATCATATGAATCAGACGTCAGGTGGTTTACATATGAGGGGAACCCACTGAGTTGGAGCCAGTAAAAGATCTCTAGAGACCTTTGTAAGCACACAAAATGCTGGATGGGCCAGGTGCTGGTGGCTCACGCCTGTATTCCTAGCTACTTGGGTCTAGGATCTGAGGATCATGGTTCAAAGCCAGCCAGGGCAGGAAAGTCCTTGAGACTCTTATCTCCAATAAGCCACCAGAAAACCAGAAGTGGCATTGTGGCTCAAGTGATAGAGTGCTAGCCTTGAGCTGAAGAGCTGAGGGACAGCGCCCAGGCCCAGAGTTCAAGTTCCACGACCAACAAAAAGCTGGGTGGGCTGAGGAGTACATGAGAACTGAGAAGTAGGGATGGGCTTGAAGGCTGGTCTTTTGGGATGCTATGATGAATAGAGAGAGCTGGGATGATGGTACTAAGGACCAGGTAGAGGAAAAGATGATATACCAGAGCCAGTTTTGGGAGCTTGGAATCTTACAGGTAAAGCAGTCCTGTTGATTTAGAAGTTCATGGGGTCAGCACCAAAGCCCAGAGTTCAAGCCCCACGACCGCCAAAAAAAAAAAAAAAAAAGTTCATGGGGTCGAAGCCCAAGGAGTTTGAAATCAAGTGACATGACTAGGAATCTGGAGAGATTACAGGAGAGGATGAGCTAAGACTAGGGTTGGTGTTCACTATCCTTGAAGATGGAGTCTGGTCTGCCATGAGTGGACGATAGAGATGAAAACCAGGGAAAGGCTTGTATGGAAAGTGTACTTCCACTCTCCTCTCCTCTCTCTCTCTCTCTCTCTTCTTCCTTCCTTCCTTCCTTCCTCCCTTCCTCCCTCCTTTCCTATCTGTCTTTCTCTCTCTTTTCCCCCTTTCTTTTCTGTTTAATAAAAACCAGATTCTAGATGACTGGAAAACAAAAACCAAACTGATAGCGGCAAACATGATAAGTGAATTAGGAAAGCTCTCAGAAGCATGTTAGCAGTTTTTAATTTTTAAGAAAACTTTTGCACAGATCTCCTCTGTAAAACTTTGAATGATGTTCATATTTATTTTATAATTTAAAATTTCATGACTAAGCAACTCGGGAAAGTCCCTCAGTACTTATGTTAAGAGATAATGATAATATATGCAACATATATTGCCCAACAATTTGGCAGCAAATAGTAGGTGCTCAATTATTTATTAATTCCCCTTGTCTTCGGTTTCTGGTTTGTGTGTGTGTGCCAATCCTGGGGTTTTAACTTAGAGCCTGGGCACACTGTTGCCTGAGATTTTTTTTTTTCCTTCAAGGCTAGCATTCTACCACTTGAGCCACAGCTCCATTTTTGGCTTTTTGGTAGTTAGTTGGATAAAAGTCTCATGGACTTTTCTGCCCAGGCTAGTTTTGAATCACAATCCTCAGATCTAAGCCTCCTGGGTAGATAAGATTATAGGCATGAGCCATTGGTGCCCAGTTCTATAATCTTTGATGTGGGAGAGGACCTTCACCAGAATCTACCCTTGCTCACACCCTGATCTTGGATTTCTGGCCTCCAGAGCTGAGAAATACTTGCTCTTTTAAGGCACCCAATCTAAGTTACTTCGGTATAGCAGTCCAGACTGTGGCAAAGCCACAGTACCAACCATAGCGAGTATACCAAGGCACCAGAAGACTGTGTCAGGGTTAAAAACTTTGGGAGCTTATACAAAGCTCCCAAAGTTATGGCTGTCATCTCCAAAGAAAGTAGAGAGCAATGCCATTTGTCACTCTGGGAAGGGGAAGTAGGTTATTTCTCTATGGATTGCCCACCCCCCACTTTCCCTGCCTCCTGCCTTTCATCTCCAGGCCAGACAGACAGGCTGCTGGGAGAGCCTGAAGTCGCTTTCTGTTTTCTTTACTGGCCTGTGAAACTGAAAATCTGCTTCCAGCTCTCTGATTCTTATCGCAGAGGTTGATGTGTGTGTTCTTGCAGGCTGTCTGGGTGGTGAGGTTGGCTTTTAATCCTCTCAGAGGTGCTTACATGTGTCCTCTGGTGAAGGCTTGTCAGCCACCTTTTCATGTTGAGTTATTCACTGCCATTAGCCACCACCAACATGGGACCACTGTGCAGCAGAAAAGACATTTTTCCAGAGGCAGAACTTTCCAAACTGGTTTTTGCCTACAAAGCAGGCCTGGAGGGGGACACTCCCGAAGGTGTTTCATGTTTCTCTGATAGTGGGGAAAAAATAAAGAAGGGTTCTAAATCATACCATCATACAGGGCCTTGGAAAACAACCTGCTTAGACTCCAATTGTTTTCAAGACATGAGAATTAAAGTGTGCAGTATACCTGGGCTCTCTTCAAAGACTTCTAAAGATGGCTTCTCCCACTAGCTAACAATTCCCAAGATTAGACTGTACTACAGGCTACTACTATTGCTTATGTGTATTGTTCTCATCTTCGCAAGTATCCTCCTACAGGTGCATGTACATTGTATATCATTTCTATTCTAAAGATGAGGAAACAGGCTAAGAGAGGTTAAGAGACTCACGTAGGAAGAAGTGGCAAAGAGCAGTGTCTGGTTATGTATCTCAGGTCCTGAATCATTCATTTGGTCTTCCTCCAGCAGAGGACTGAGCTTCAGCCTCCATCAGAGAGTATTTACACAATGAGGCTTCCAGTTAGTAAAAGAGTCGGTCAACTCCCATAAACAC